GTCTGTAGGCGTTCTTTGCGTGGCTGAGCGTATGCGTGGCTCAGTCTTGTGTATCTCAATATCTGCGGACCCAACTAAAAGTCTTTCTATAGAGAAAGTGGTGTCACTGAGCAGCAGCAGGTCGCCCCATACTCTGCTCTCGTGCCATCTTTTGGCCCGTTCATCATGTGAGCCGTGTGCTGCGCTCGCCGCCTGCCCACGGAGAGAGAGAGAGAGAGAGAGAGAGAGAGAGAGAGAGAGAGAGAGAGAGAGAGAGAGAGAGAGAGAGAGAGAGAGAGAGAGAGAGAGAGAGAGAGCAGAGGAAGAGAGGATGGGCGGGCAGGCCGACTGCGAAAGACGGCCGTTCGAACACGTTCAAGTACCGACAAAGTTTGAGCAAGGAACAAATATACATGCAAAAAAGACTTGTAATATACCAAATTCGACCTGTTTTGTTTTTCCATACCCGAAACGCCTCGCATCAGATATCGCGCAAGCGACATGCATGCCAATCTGCCTGGCTGCCACTGCCCCCCTTCAACGCCCGTCTAATATGCAAAATATACATGTGCCCGCCCCATGTTGCTTGTATGCGCGCGTCTGCGTGTACGTGCGTGTGTGTTCGTTGCCGTCTATGCCTTCAGTCTATCCTCATCCAAGCCGGCGACCTTTCTATATAGCTTGCGGTGCATCTCCAAGAAGACAAAGGTGCAGATTGTTTGTCTGGTGTTTGGTCAGTATGGAGCGATCCCCCTTTTTCTTTCTCTTTTTTTCTTTTTTTTAAGAAAAGAGAATGCAGCAAGGGAAGAGGCGGGGAAGGGAGGGAGCTCACGGTCCGAGGCGCAGAAAGCTGGGCAGCCAGCCCTTGAACATCCAGCCGAGCCCCTCGTTGCGGTAGATGGTCTTGAGGGTCTTGACGAGGCCCTCCTGGGTCGTGGCGGTCATGACGCGCGTCTTGATGACGTCGACGGGGCTCGTGACGGTGGCGGCCATCATGCCGGCGAGCAGCGAGGCGGTGAAGTGGGTGGTCAGGTCGTCCTGGAGGGGCGTGTTGCGCAGCAGCAGGCCCTTGAAGGTGTCGTAGCTGGCGAGCTGCGAGGCGGTCATGGCGGCGGCGCGCATGCTGTTGGGCAGGACGCCGCGGAACCAGCTCAGGGGCCCCTCGTCGCGGGCCATGCGCAGCAGGCCGTCGAGGGCGTGGCGGTAGTTGCGGCGCTCGGCGTGCGGCAGGGCGGCGTCTTGCTGCATGCGCACGTTGAGGACGTCGGCGGCGTTGCCGGAGACGCCGCCGATGAAGCCGGCGAGGGAGGCCATGGCCGTGAGGACGGGGAACGAGGGCTGCTTGTTGTTGGGCGAGCGGCGCATGGCGCGCGTTTTGAGCTCCTCGTAGACGCCGAAGCGGACGGTCGAGTAGGTCATCTGGCGCAGCAGTGAGGCCGAGAGGCCGGCGTAGAGGCCGGCGGGGCCGTCGGACCTGAGGATGTGGAGGACGGTGCCGGACATGTTTTTGGGGGCATCGGGCCGGCGGACTTGCAGGCGGACCTGGTTTGCCGTGTTAGCTCAGGGAGAACGGGGAGACGTCATCGGGAAAGTGGTCGTCATGATGGAGGGGTATATTGTGTTGTCGCATACCTTGACTGAGACACGGTTAGCTGGCGGATATCGCGAGAGAGGGTGCGCGATGGCGACGACCACGGCGACAGCGACGGCGACGGCGCAGAGGGGCAAGGGGGGACAGAAACGCACCAAGATCCAGGGGATGTGTCACGCAGGCTGCCATACTGCTGGCGCTGCCACCGAACCAAAAAGGGTATCTCGTCGAGCTCTTTGCCGTTTTTGCGCTCTTCTCCTCGGCCGTAAGAACGGGCTTCTCGGCGCCGGGGGCCATCTTTGCAGACTGCATCGTGGGCAGCTAGAGTACGTGATTGACGGCGGCTAAGGGTGTTCCCATGCCGGAATTGGGTAGCGGGATCCAATCGAGGGTTTTTCGACTCTCCAAAGCCCCGTGGTCGACAGCAAGAAGGCAGATGGGCCGTGCTGGTTTCGCGATGTCGTCGTTTTGGTGGAGAGGCCTTTGGACAAAGATTTGGGGGTGGAAACGGGGGGGCATCTGGCACCTGCAGCTTTTTTCCTGCGAGACTTCGGACCCTGCGTCATTGCGCACCGAGGTTACCTTACTGTGCTGTGCTGTACCTGTACACACCGTTTTGGTGTAGGTGCTGACACCTGGCACCCGGCACCTCGACCGCTGACCACATGGGCGCTGCCGCATGGGCGCTCCAGGCTCTGGGCCCCTAAACGTCCACTAAGGTAGCTTCAAGAGTCCTCTGCAAGAGTCCTCTGCAAGAGTTCTGCGTGTGTGACAGGGACTGACCTCATCGGCCGCTAAGCCGATGGTAAGCCCCGCATGAATCCCTTCCGAATGCGATTCTAGTCATGAGCCAGACAACCTCCGTCATTGTCTTCTCCATCTTCCCCTCATCAAGTTGACGTCGTGCCTTTATCACTACCTTAGGTGACTGGGCACTTGCTGTAGACAGTTCAACGGGCGACTCTCTGCAGCCTGATGAATCTGGACGTCAAAGCCGGGAACAATTCAGGGGCTAGTAGCTACTCTATGGATACGAGACGAGTGAACCAATGCTCCTGGGTACGTAAACCAGCTGTCATCTCGCTGATCAAGTTGAGTCACATGTCCCTCATCAGATACATATGTGGTTTGGGGCACACAGGTTGAGCGGAGCGTTCACGATTGAGATTACGTTTCATGTAGCAACAATCGGCAGCTCGCCCGGCTGGCCTAAAAAACAACCGTAACTTCATCCCCCGTCGTCACAACCCACCTCTCGCATCGTCAACCCCCACAGCAACGTAAAGACATGCCTGGCAAACTCGTCTACCTGGACAGCCGCCACGCCCACCTCCGGCAGGACAAGGCCCTCGATGTTATGCAAGAACAGCGGCCCCTCCCTCTGCGCCATCGCCTCCCACCAGCGGCGCCCGCGGCGTCCCAGAGCCCTGCGCGCTGCGCGAAGCACAACGCCGCAACATGGTCGTGAAGGCCGCGACAGATCTAGTGGTCGAGTTCCCGAAGACAGAGTTCGTCGCCCGCACGAGTGACATTGCCAACTTTGACGACACGGCTGCCTTGTGGGCTGACCTTGCGGTCACGGGCGTCTCTGTCGATGTCCTGGTGCTGAATGCCGCCAGCATGGGCCCCAGTGAACCCATAATTTCGGCCGACGTCGACGGCCTCTGATCCGAGTTTATCACCAATGTCCGCTCACAACTCGCCTCTGCCCATCACTTCCGCGCCCAGAAATCTTTCGAAGAGAAGAAGAGGATGCGTTCCGTCTTCCCTGCCCCGCTCACGGGGAGCAGGCTGGCCGCCCATCATGATGCTGACCTCTGCTTGCCCTACAACATAGAACCTCGTGTACCTCGCCTCCGCCGTTACGCACATGCCGGGCATGGACGTGGCGATGCCGGCCAATTTTCTGGACCAAGACGGTCGGCCAGCTGCTCCTGCAAACAATTGCCGACGCCACCGACCCTCAGAAGCTCCAGGTGAACATATTCCACCCGGGACGATCCTCTCTGAGGGGGCTATGAATGCTGGCATGACGGTGGATAGTCTGCCCCTTTGATGACAGTAAGTCATCCCTCGTAGAAAGTATTCATAACATAGGTAGTCGAGGATGGGTAGGCATGAACTCCGTCTACTAACACGCCAACTAAAACAGTCAAGCTGCCGTCGGACTGTGGCATCTGGGCTGCTACCAAAGAGGCTGAATTCCTGCATGGTAAGTTTGTGTGGGCGGGGTGGGACGTGGACGAGCTCCGATCCGAAGAGTCCCAGAGGCAGTTTGAGAGAAACCCGCGACACCTCAGCATCCGTCTTGTTGGCATCTGGACCAGGGATAATGCAGCGACAGCACTGTTGCAGGGATGCACTCACACCGATAGAGACACGGCATCTCTGCCCATGTGACTAGGATGTCCTGCGAGGCAGGCGCGCGACTCAAGGATGCATGGTTGGCGAATTGGCCTGTTTCGTTGGATACACTCGATATCGTAATGTTCCGAATTGTCGATGGCGCCACAGAGAAGGTCTGCAGCATGCTCCGTTCAGGATACATGACCACTACGGACAGATTGGCCAGTCACTAAACGCACTGTCAGCCTATCTGTCGGTTTATCTATCGTTCATCCACTGTGAAGGCGATTCCTGGCTGCAGCATCGTGTTGGCGTCATCGAGGTGATCCATTATCTGGTTGCTTCTTGAGCCTGCGGTAGCTGATGGAATGATAATCGCCATATACGTACGCTACAACGCGACCGTTGCTATCTAAGGTACATCCAGTAGCTTTGAAGGGCAAAGCTTGGATCTTGGCTCTGTCGGGTGATGATGCTCAATTGTACAATTGCGCATCTTTGTCCTGTTGTTCGCATGAGATGATCCGAGGTTTTCCATGCCCAAGGTACCTTAAGGTAAGGCAGGAAGGTAGTGAACATGAATAGGATGTATTGGTGGAGGGAAGTAGTGCATCCCCGAGACAGAAGGCGTCTTGAGGTGGTGCACCCTGTCGAACTCCACTCTTATCGTTATCACTTCGACCTTGCAAATGCATCGTCAGAGCTCTGCGGCGTCAGTCGATGTACCATGACAGTTATTTTCCTTGCAGCATTTCACCTATTCCGTCCTCGCCCTACGAGGTGACCGCACGTTGCTTCAGTGCACCCCGCTGTCCACCTCACTCACACTGTCATGATACAGGCGCCAAAATTTGCCAGTCAGCCATTGCGCTGCTGGGCGCATAGGGCCTCACGGTCGACCATCATTCGGCACCAGCGAACCTCCATCCTTGCCTCACGAACCTGCACATGGCGGGCCTACTCCTCCGGTATGATGCCCTTCAGCCGGCGGCCTGCCATCCGATCTGACATGATTTGAAGCCCAGCCCAAGACCATCGAGGTCAATGGCAAAACCTATCCGACCGATCAATGGTTCAACGCCCCGCCCAATGTCGTGGCCGCCGCTTCCCGCAAGCTGCACCTCCAAAAGGACCATCCCGTCTACATCACACGACAGATCATTGAGTCTCAATTTCCAAACTCGACCTACAAATACCATAACACCTTCGACCCTGTCGTCTCGACCCACCAAAACTTTGACTCGCTCGGCTTCCCCGTAGACCATCCCGGCCGAGCACGATCCGACACCTACTACTTCAACAAGGACACGCTTCTACGAACCCACACGAGCGCTCACCAAGCGGAAACATTCAAGGCCGACCAGAGCGATGGGTACCTCATCAGCGCCGACGTCTACCGGCGAGATGCCATCGATAAGAGCCACTACCCCGTCTTCCACCAGATGGAGGGCGCCCGCATCTGGGACCGCACACAGTATCCCGAAGGCGCCGTCGCCGACGCCATCTGGGCCGACGTCGAGAAGCTGCCAAAGCACAACGTCCCCGTCGAGGACCCCAACCCAGGCATTCACCCCGAGCGCAACCCCCTCCAGGAGGCGCACCACACCGCCGCCGAGGCCGAGGCCATCGCCGCGCACCTGAAGCGCTCGATCGAGCTCATGGTCATTGAGATCTTCTCGCGCGCCAAGGCCGCCGCCCGCAAGGCCGACCCCGACCACAAGGACGAGCCCCTGCGCATGCGCTGGGTCGAGGCTTACTTCCCCTTCACGAGCCCCTCGTGGGAGCTCGAGGTCTACTACGACGGCGACTGGCTCGAGGTGCTGGGCTCCGGCGTCGTCAAGCAGGACATCTTCATCGACGCCGGCAAGCCCGACAAGCTCGGCTGGGCCTTCGGCATCGGCCTCGACCGCATCGCCATGCTGCTCTTCCAGATCCCCGACATTCGTCTCTTCTGGTCCCGCGACGAGCGCTTCCTCGGCCAGTTCCGCGGCGTCTCCGACGACCTCGCCTCGCTGCGCCGCTTCGTCTCCTTCTCCAAGTACCCCGCCTGCCCAAAGGACGTGTCCTTCTGGCTCAGCGGCGTGTCGCCCGCCGGCGGCGGCGGCCACCCCTTCCACGAGAATGACTTTATGGAGCTCGTCCGCGACGTCGCCGGCGACCGCGTCGAGGACGTGCGCGTCGTGGACGACTTTACGCATCCCAAGACGGGCCGGCGGAGCATGTGCTACCGCGTCAACTACCGCAGCCTCGAGCGGACGCTGACCAACGAGGAGACGAACGCGTTGCACGGCGAGGTGAAGAAGAGGCTGGTCGAGAGGCTTGGGGTGGAGATTCGGTAAAGCCGGAGCGGTGTAAAACATGTAAACTTTGTACCATCTTCAATGCAGCCGAAGTCTTTGAAACCCAAATTTAAGCATAACAGGCTACATCTCTCGCGTTGGACAGTCTCCACCTGTCGATGTGGTGCTGTTGTGAAGAAGAACCCCAGAACACCTCCTGTCGTACATCCCTTGGGATTCGCCTGGGCGATGGAAGAGATCTGTCTACGTGTACTGGCAGCTGCCGGTTTGGGAACACCCATGATTGATGATCTGCTGGTGTCTGGCGTTTCATTGTCGTTGATGGGCCGCTATCTGCTCTGGCTGCTCGTCCAGCTCTCTGCACAGACACCGAATTCAAGGCAAAGGGACTCCCACGGTAGCAAGCTATGTAAGCGATCTTCGTCTCATGTCTAACTTTGTCAAGTCACTGTACACATTCTTCATCGTGAAATCCTCATAGACTTTGCCATGCATCTCGGGCACACGGCTCAGCAGACGATCAAAGGCGATGGTAATCTCGGAGAACGATTTCTCCACCGGTCGTACCATGGTTTACAGTAGTAAAGTACGCCTTGCAAGGCTTCTCTACAACCCCTCAGGAAAAGCCACGCACTTCTGCAACACGACGAAGCACTCGAGACGCGTCACGGATATCATTTCACGTCTGACACAGCCCAGCACCAAGGCCAGAAAATCAACAAGCATGCCAGATCATCACCAACAAAGGAAGAAAAAAAAAAGACTGGTCATGCCGGCTCGGCGCAGAGGCATAACAGGACACTCCTATACGTTTCGCCCCAGTCGAGCCCGTCCAGCTGGCAACGCTTGGTCTCCCGCCGAACAGCTCAGCCACTCTGGTCCCGGAATGCCCAACACTGCCCTGGGAACTAGCGATTCTCCCCGAGCACATGAACAACAGGAACGAAATGAGCACCAAGGTCACGACGCGCAACACAGAAGCCCACGATCATGCCTCGCCCGGAGGAAAAAGCGTAAGCAAATTTCGGGGTACGAGCGGCTTGGGACGCCTCACCTCCCCCTAGCCGGCGTCCTGGTCGGCGGGTGGGCTGTACAAGAATGCCAGCACAGCGAAAAGACGAGACACGCAACACAGGGCCGCTGCGTCGGAGGGCGGCGCAGCAAAAGAGGGAGAAAACGGGTCTCTAGGTAGACTTTGCACAATGTCTGTGTTCAGCTGTCGTGTGGTGAGCTGGAGAATGGAGCAGAGCGGGTCGTGCTTCGTTGCTGCAGACGGGGTTCGAACGGGCCGTGTTTGGTTTTTTGTTTCTTCGTCTCTGGCAGGTTTCCGGTAGGACGGGGTGTCTGCGGTGGAATCTGGAGACGAGCGGAGCTCGAAGCAGTCCTGCCGGCGGATCTGGTGATGCGGGGAGGCTTGGCTCTGTGGAAGTCTGATGCAGGATATGCTTCAGCGTGCCTCAGCAGGGAGGGCGCCTTAGGCGCCTATGACGAAGGTGAGCTTCGAGACGGAGGGACAAACACGCTGGCATGGCATGACAGACGGTAAGAGGGAGGGAGCGTGCGAGGGGGGAGGGGAGGAAGAGGCCGATCGTGGGCCCAGTGGTCCATTCTTTGGTCTGCTGCGCATGCTGCGCCGGGCGCCGGATGGAATCGAGTCAACGACGAGACGGACGTGATCCGTGCCAAGCCAGTCAGTGAGCACAGCCCCGTTGCGGGCGGTCGGATGAAGGTTGGTTGGCGGATGTCGGTCGAGGACCAAAGATTGCGTCATAGGTCTGTGTTCGTGGTGCTCGTGTTGCCATTTGGTCAGTGGATGTGGTGGTGATAATTGTCTCAGAAGGTCCTTCGTTGCTGGATGCAGACACATGGATGTTGATGGATTCACGATGTTGAGGTGATGTTGGACTCAGGTACGTATCATTCCCATACCTGCCTGCGTGCCGCGACCTGGGAGAACGAATACAGCGGGTCGGTACGGAACAGAAACACCGTCTGACAGATCCGGGACCCACGCTACTGTGCTGCTTTGAGCCAACCAGAGCCTGTACATCAGTAGGTCTGATTGCCAAGTACCTGAGTACCTACCATGTATTGCGGTGCTATCTGGTCCTACCTACATGTACCTTAGGTAGGTACCTTAGTTGGCGCGAGTCCCCCACATGCTGCCAAGAGGCGAACCTGCAGCTGCAACAGCACCTGCAGCACACTGTAGCACTTGTTTCTTGTCTGCTGCTTGATTTCCTTCCACTCGAGTGGCTCGCAGCTGACCAAGACGGCAGGTCGGACATGGCTGGGCGCCAGGACCGTCTCTCACGGTCGCGGGGCAATGGCCTGTCCGACTTTCCGCCTGACCATCTATGAGCCAAGGCTTCGGTGATAGGACACAAAGAGGGAGGCTTGTGGTCAGTCAATGGGTGGTGGCGATTCGACCGTTCTCGACGCATCGGTACCTAGGTACCTACATTGGTAGGTAGCTTCCATGCAGAACAGTCGGGAAGAATCTGCCTGCACCGCCTCTCTGGCACCTGTCGAGACGGGAATTGCACTGGGAGCCAGGATGAAACTGGCAAGGGTCTGGACCGTCTACATCGCTCCAAGAACTGTCCGTTTCCAGCAGGCCTGTCAGTGGGAGAGCCCGCTGAAAGCACAGCGCGCAGAGGGGCGAAATTCGGGGCAGATTCGGGAGGGGGGGGGGAGAGGCTTCTTGGGGGGCTTTGGGGGGGATGGGAGTAAAGCGGGCTCCCTCTCGGTACTGGGTAGGTACACGGGCCAACCAGAGGGAACCCAGGCCAGGCTGAGGGGCAGAACCAAGAGGCAGAACGCAGAGGAGAGCAGCAGAGAAGGAAATACGTACCACAGAAAGATGGCATTTGACTTCTGCCGCGCCTCATTGGAAATCTCCACTCTCGTCACCTCAACATCTGCTCTGCACCACACTGCACCCGCACATGCGCCTGCATCGACTGACTGCACTGCCCCCCTCTCCCGCCCTCCGGCTGCTGCGCTTGCTCTGACGACGCACGCTTCACCTGCTCGTACATATACCCATCGTCTGCTCTCTTCTGGCACTATTCTTCTTGAGCAGTACACACACAAACACACGTTGCACATACAGCCATCCAACGCAAAAGACTACCTACCTATCATCCACAGGCCACGACCGAGCAACTCGCCACTGCCCCTCAACACCACAATATCATCACCACAATCAGCATACCACCACCTACAACCTCTCCACAATGGCTACGCAGTCTCCTCCCACGAGACCTCTGAGCTCCCGCCGCTCCACCGCCTCAAGCAAAGGTCTCTCCCTCGACCTCTCGTCTCTGCCACCCCTGACCCAGCCGACGCCTCCTTCCAACACGCTCCTCCTGACAAACCTCGATGATCTCGCCATCTTCCGCCCAGACAATCTCCAGACCATCCGCGACCTGATCGCCCAGACGGCCGCCATCCACTCGTGGGCGCCGCTCAAGTCCTTCCGCCGCATCATCGTGTCCTTCTACGACGAGGACGCCGCCATCGCCGTGCGCCAGATCTGGAACGGCGAGGCCATCCTCGGCAACGTCTGCCGCGTCTACTTCGGCACCCCGACCCCCATCGACCAGCACCTCAAGGACCAGTACCTCGCCCTGCCCGACGCCGGCAAGCTCTTCTTCATCTCGCCCCCGCCCAGCCCCCCGCACGGCTGGGAGATGAAGCTCGAGGACGCCCCCAACAAGCAGGTCCACGCCGAGGACCTCGCCGACGCCCTCGCCAAGCTGCACCACGCCAGCCGCTCCGCCGCCCCCGGCGTCGACACCCCCGTCAGCCCCGTCGACGGCACGCGCCAGACGAGGAGCCGCAGCTCCACGCTGCTCTACCAGCCCGACGCCCACGAGGGCGCGAGCCCTGACCTGCCGGCCATCTGCCTCGAGGACATGACGGACGAGCCCAGCCCCATCGAGGCGCCCAAGCCCATCATGGCGCATACTTCGCGGCCGCCTGTCGAGCTGATGCACCATGCGTAGGGGGGGGTTGCATGTCAAGTGGAACGAAAGCAGAAGGATGTTGTTTCAATTATTGCATGGCGTTTGGATCAAGGGTACGGTTCGGCGAGGATTGTCTTCATTATTGCATGGTAGATATAAGGGCCTGGCGCATGGTTAATAAGGTGTACTCGAGCCAAGGGGGGTGGCTTGCAACCAGGAGTCATTGGGGTTGCGAGCTGAAAAAGCATTTGAACAAACTGTACATTACTGGTTAAATACACCACAGCTATGGCAGCTGCTGAAACATTTCTTCGCAAGACGCACGTGCATGCTACCGTGCGCCTTCACTCTTGTGCGACCGAGACATCACCTCAACAATCCCATGAGAGCACGCACACCCCCCCTCAAGCACAGCCATCCTGCCCAGCTGCCGCAGCCGACGACGACGCCGGCGACGCTTAACGTCCAGAGACTCCGCCGCTCGTGGCTCCCGACGCCGAGCTCGCGGCCCCTGCGCATGGCCTCGTCGAGCGTGCCCACCTCGGTGGCCATCGTGTCGAGCACGGGCACGTACTGGAACTCAAAGGCCGTCTCGGCACCCAGGGCGCCGAGCTCGCCGCGGCGGACGGTGAGGTCGTACAGCGTCCTGCGCAGCCTCTCGCGGCGGGCGGCGTCCCAGCGCGGCACCCACTTGTGCGAGTAGCTCATGGCGGCGAAGAAGAGGCACTGGCCGAGCACGAGGACGGAGAAGTAGCAGCGGCGCAGCCAGCCGCGGGGCCGCTCGATGCGCAGCGCCTCGGCGAGCCGCGGCCCGTTGAGCCAGTATGTTTCGGCCGCGAGGAAGGGCCGCGACACGTGGCCCGGCGGCTGGTCGGCCATGCCGGTGAGGACGTTGTTGGCGAGCGTCGCCGACGTGGCCGAGGGGTGCAGCTCCGAGAGGAGGAGCGACTCCATGGTGGCGCGGGCGGGCGGTGGGCGTGGC